TCCACACCTCCCCTAACGGAGAGAGAGAGAGAGAGAGAGAGAGAGAGAGAGAGAGAGAGAGAGAGAGAGAGAGAGAGAGAGAGAGAGAGAGAGAGAGAGAGAGAGAGAGAGAGAGAGAGAGAGAGGGAGAGAGGGGGAGAATATACGGATATTCGGATACATGAATATACGGAAAAACGGATGTTCGGATAAACGTGTAATCGGATACATGAATAAACGGATGTTCGGATACACGAGTATATGGATATTCGGATATATGAATATACGGATAAACGGATGTTCGAATACACGAATATACGGATAAACGGATGTTCGGATAAATGAATATACGGATAAACGGATGTTCGGATGCACGAATATACGGATTAGCGGATGTTCGGATATATGAATATACGGATAAACGGATGTTCGGATACATGAACATACGGATTAGCGGATGTTCGGATATATGAATATACAGATAAACGGATGTTCGGATACATGAACATACGGATTAGCGGATGTTCGGATATAAAACCGATCCTCCCATGTCCGAGAAAGTGTGCATTGAGACAGACCAAAACAAATGAAGACCGACCGAAACAAAGCGCGGCTGAGCGAAACAAAGAGACACTGTCCCAGATAAAATTGATACAGAAACAGATAAAGTAACTATAATCATATTTTTTCAGTAGTTTTAATTAGATATCGTTAAATTACTGACCTGTTTTTGTATGATTAGGTTCGATCATTTGAACCCCAAGAACGAGGTAAACAGCCTTGTGTTCTCTCTCCGGTCGGGAGCTGTCGGCCGAGCGGACAGCATGCTGAACTTGTGATCCTGTGGTCCCGGGTTCGATCCCGGGCGCCGGCGAGAAACAATGGGCAGAGTGTCTTTCACCCTACGCCCCTGTTACCTAGCAGTAAAATAGGTACCTGGGTGTTAGTCAGCTGTCACGGGCTGCTTCCTGGGGGTGGAGGCCTGGTCGAGGACCGGGCCGCGGGGACACTAAAGCCCCGAAATCACCTCAAGATAACCTCTCCTTGGCTACTGCGTAAAAATACAGCAGTTTTGCCTAGCGAGAAGCGTAAAAATACAACCCACCTAACCAATTGAGGCCGATGGATAGGAAACGCCAATATTACGATGTTTTAAGTTTTCCAAATACGTTCCAGTTTTAACGGTTTAATCGATTCCGTAAACAATGAGACGTATTGGATGGTGGTGTTGGTGACGTCTGTATTCACCTAGTTGTGCTTGCGGGGGTTGAGCTTTGGCTCTTTGGTCCCGCCTCTCAACTGTCAATCAACAGGTGTACAGGTTCCTGAGCCTACTGGGCTCTATCATTTCTACATTTAAAACTGTGTATGGAGTCAGCCTCCACCACATCACTGCCTAATGCATTCCATCCGTTAACTACTCTGACACTGAAAAAGTTCCTTCTAACGTCTCTGTGGCTCATGTGGGTACTCAGTTTCCACCTGTGTCCCCTTGTTCGCGTCCCACCAGTGTTAAATAATACATACTTGTCCACCCTGTTAATTCCCCCTGAGAATTTTGTATGTCGTGATCATGTCTCCCCACGCTATTCTGTCTGTCAGCGACGTGAGGTGCAGTTCTCTTAGCCTTTCCTCTTAACTCATGCCTCTTAGTTCTGGGACTAGCCTAGTGACATTCCTATGAATTTTTTCCAGCTTCGTCTTGTGCTTGACAAGGTACGGGCTCCATGCTGGGGCGCATACTTCAGGATTGGTCTTACATATGTGGTATGCAAGGTTCTGAAGGATTCCTAACATAGGTTTCTGAACGTAGTTCTGATGTCAGCGAGCCTCGCATACGCCGCTGATGTTATTCTTTTGATGTGGGCTTCAGGAGACAGGTTTTGCGTGATATCAACTCCTAGATCTTTCTGTTCTTTTCGTGAAGGACTTTATTTCCCATTCGGTATCTAGTGACTGGCCTCCTATTTCCTCCGCCTAGTTTCATCACCGTACATTTACTCGGGGTTGAACTTTAGTAGCCATTTGTTGAACCATTCCTTCAGTTTGTCTAGGTCATCTTGTAGCCTCATACTATCTTTCCTGAATTACGTTCTAACTTTAGCTAGCGTAGAGTACGAGGCAGATGTTGTCCTATATGTGCCTCAGGCGTTAGGTTTGGTGTTAAGTCCACTCCCAGGTATCTTTCTTGAGTCGTCACAGGGAAGTAGTTTCTCTGCATTGTGTACTGTCCCGTTGGTCTCCTGTCACCTGTTCCATTTTCCATCACTTTACATTTGCTCGTGTTGAACACCATTAGCCATTTCTCTGACCATCTCTGCAGCTTGTTCAGGTCCTCTTGGAGGATCCTACAATCCTCATCTGTCACAACTCGTCTAATTAATTTCGCGCCATCCGCGAACATAAAACTCAACTCCTGTAAACATGTCATTTACGTATATTTGAGTTAGAACTGGTCCCAGCACCGATCCTTGAGGTACTCCACTCGTTACCATTCCCCAGTCTGACTTCTCGCCCCTGACTGTTACTCTCTGGCTCCTGCCTGTTAGGTAATTCCTTGCCCATGTTGTTAGGTCTTTCCGCTTACTCCCGCCTGCCTCTCAAGTTTATTTATTTATTAACCTCATTTAGGTTAACGGGATTAATGCCTTTTTCATAGGCAGTTCTCTGCTGCCTATGAAAAAGGCAGCAGAGACTATGAACTATCCTAATTCTAACTGAGGATAACCCCTTCTAATTCCACGTGCTTCTAACTTTCCAATGAGGCTCACTCGTAGCATAGCATCAAAGGCTAAATTCTAAATTCTGCTAAATTCAATAAATGAAGGGTTTCTGAATTTAGTAAATTTACTGACGTTGGTTATTTGGACGGAGAGAAGATGGAGACACTATCCTCTCTCTCTCTCTCTCAATCTCTCTCTATCCCACCTTCGTTCTACCGTCCCCGCGTTCCGTCTCCCGTCTCCCTTCGCCGCTCCCCCCCCCCTGATCTCCAGTACTCCCGACGCCACGTCAATCAGAAGCCAGACAGGTTGACGTGGCCCGCGTGGCTGTCACTCAGACATGTGGGGGAGTTTTTACCCGAATCAAGGAGTGGATGTGTCATGTTGCTGGCCGTGAGTGTTAGTGTTGCGTCAGACGGTACTCTGAGGGCCATAGTTGCGTCAGACGGTACTCTGAGGGCCATAGTTGTGTCTGACGATACTCTGAGGGCCATAGTTGCGTCAGACGATACTCTGAGGGCCATAGTTGTGTCTGACCGGTACTCTGAGGGCCATAGTTGTGTCAGACCGGTACTCTGAGGGCCATAGTTGTGTCAGACCGGTACTCTGAGGGCCATAGTTGCGTCAGACGATACTCTGAGGGCCATAGTTGTGTCTGACCGGTACTCTGAGGGCCATAGTTGCGTCAGACGATACTCTGAGGGCCATAGTTGTGTCAGACCGGTACTCTGAGGGCCATAGTTGTGTCAGACCGGTACTCTGAGGGCCATAGTTGTGTCAGACCGGTACTCTGAGGGCCATAGTTGTGTCAGACGGTACTCTGAGGGCCATAGTTGTGTCAGACGGTACTCTGAGGGCCATAGTTGTGTCAGACCGGTACTCTGAGGGCCATAGTTGCGTTAGAACGGTACTCTGAGGGCCATAGTTGTGTCAGACGGTACTCTGAGGGCCATAGTTGTGTCAGACCGGTACTCTGAGGGCCATAGTTGCGTTAGAACGGTACTCTGAGGGCCATAGTTGCGTTAGAACGGTACTCTGAGGGCCATAGTTGCGTCAGACGATACTCTGAGGGCCATAGTTGCGTTAGAAGGGTACTCTGAGGGCCATAGTTGCGTTAGAACGGTACTCTGAGGGCCATAGTTGCGTTAGAACGGTACTCTGAGGGCCATAGTTGCGTCAGACGATACTCTGAGGGCCATAGTTGCGTTAGAACGGTACTCTGAGGGCCATAGTTGTGTCAGACGGTACTCTGAGGGCCATAGTTGCGTCAGACGATACTCTGAGGGCCATAGTTGCGTCAGACGATACTCTGAGGGCCATAGTTGCGTCAGACGATACTCTGAGGGCCATAGTTGCGTCAGACGATACTCTGAGGGCCATAGTTGCGTTAGAACGGTACTCTGAAGGCCATAGTTGCGTTAGAACGGTACTCTGAGGGCCATAGTTGCGTTAGAACGGTACTCTGAGGGCCATAGTTGCGTTAGAATGGTACTCTGAGGGCCATAGTTGCGTTAGAACGGTACTCTGAGGGCCATAGTTGCGTCAGACGATACTCTGAGGGCCATAGTTGCGTTAGAACGGTACTCTGAGGGCCATAGTTGCGTTAGAACGGTACTCTGAGGGCCATAGTTGCGTTAGAACGGTACTCTGAGGGCCATAGTTGCGTTAGAACGGTACTCTGAGGGCCATAGTTGCGTTAGAACGGTACTCTGAGGGCCATAGTTGCGTTAGAACGGTACTCTGAGGGCCATAGTTGCGTTAGAACGGTACTCTGAGGGCCATAGTTGTCAGACGGTACTCTGAGGGCCATAGTTGTCAGACGGTACTCTGAGGGCCATAGTTGTCAGACGGTACTCTGAGGGCCATAGTTGTCAGACGGTACTCTGAGGGCCATAGTTGCGTCAGACGGTACTCTGAGGGCCATAGTTGCGTTAGAACGGTACTCTGAGGGCCATAGTTGCGTTAGAACGGTACTCTGAGGGCCATAGTTGCGTCAGACGATACTCTGAGGGCCATAGTTGCGTTAGAACGGTACTCTGAGGGCCATAGTTGCGTTAGAACGGTACTCTGAGGGCCATAGCTGCGTTAGAACGGTACTCTGAGGGCCATAGTTGCGTTAGAACGGTATTCTGAGGGCCATAGTTGCGTTAGAACGGTACTCTGAGGGCCATAGTTGTGTCAGACGGTACTCTGAGGGCCATAGTTGTGTCAGACGGTACTCTGAGGGCCATAGTTGTGTCAGACGGTACTCTGAGGGCCATAGTTGTGTCAGACGGTACTCTGAGGGCCATAGTTGTGTCAGACGGTACTCTGAGGGGCCATAGTTGTGTCAGACGGTACTCTGAGGGCCATAGTTGTGTCAGACGGTACTCTGAGGGCCATAGTTGTGTCAGACGGTACTCTGAGAGCCATAGTTGTGTCAGACGGTACTCTGAGGGCCATAGTTGTGTCAGACGGTACTCTGAGGGCCATAGTTGTGTCAGACGGTACTCTGAGGGCCATAGTTGTGTCAGACGGTACTCTGAGGGCCATAGTTGTGTCAGACGGTACTCTGAGGGCCATAGTTGTGTCAGACGGTACTCTGAGGGCCATAGTTGTGTCAGACGGTACTCTGAGGGCCATAGTTGTGTCAGACGGTACTCTGAGGGCCATAGTTGTGTCAGACGGTACTCTGAGGGCCATAGTTGCGTCAGACGGTACTCTGAGGGCCATAGTTGCGTCAGACGGTACTCTGAGGGCCATAGTTGCGTTAGAACGGTACTCTGAGGGCCGTAGTTGCGTCAGACGGTACTCTGAGGGCCATAGTTTTTTTTTTTTTTTGAGATATATACAAGAGTTGTTACATTCTTGTACAGCCACTAGTACGCGTAGCGTTTCGGGCAAGTCCTTAATCCTATGGTCCCTGGAATACGATCCCCGCCGCGAAGAATCGTTTTTTCATCCAAGTACACATTTTACTGTTGCGTTAAACAGAGGCTACAGTTAAGGAATTGCGCCCAGTAAATCCTTCCCGGCCAGGATACGAACCCATGACATAGCGCTCGCGGAACGCCAGGCGAGTGTCTTACCACTACACCACGGAGACTGTTAGTTGCGTCAGAATGGTACTCTGAGGGCCATAGTTGCGTCAGAATGGTACTCTGAGGGCCATAGTTGCGTCAGAACGGTACTCTGAGGGCCTTAGTTGCGTCACAATGGTACTCTGAGGGCCATAGTTGCGTCACAACGGTACTCTGAGGGCCATAGTTGCGTTAGTAAGGTACTCTGAGGGCCATAGTTGCGTCAAAATGGTACTCTGAGGGCCATAGTTGCGTCAGAATGGTACTCTGAGGGCCATAGTTGCGTTAGAACGGTACTCTGAGGACCATAGTTGCGTTAGAACGGTACTCTAAGGGCCATAGTTGCGTTAGTAAGGTACTCTGAGGGCCATAGTTGCATCAGACGGTACTCTGAGGGCCATAGTTGCGTTAGAACGGTACTCTGAGGGCCATAGTTGCGTCAGAATGGTACTCTGAGGGCCATAGTTGCGTCAGAACAGTACTTTGAGGGCCATAGTTGCGTCAGAATGGTACTCTGAGGGCCATAGTTGCGTCAGACGGTACTCTGAGGGCCATAGTGGCGTCAGACGGTACTCTAAGGGGCCATAGTTGCATCAGACGGTACTCTGAGGGCCATAGTTGCGTCAGAATGGTACTCTGAGGGCCATAGTTGCGTCAAAACGGTACTCTGAGGGCCATAGTAGTTCCAAACGGTACTCTTAAATCTACAGTACTTCATAACGGAGTCCTGACAGATTTTGTTTCTCCAGTTCGTAATCTGACCCCTTGTTCGGTACTGTGTCAAAGACTTTGTGGATGTCAGGAAAGATGAAGCCCACCCATGTTTGTATGTCCTGCCTCAGTGCCGTCATCTTTCACAAGAGAGCCGGTCAAGCCATGTTATATGTGTAGAATCCCCAGATGTGTTTGTTAGAGTGAGCTTCAGCTCCCGGGCGTCGCCATACGTCAAGGAATGTGCTGAGGTGATGCTTACTATGAGCTCGCATGGTGTGTGTGTGTGTGTGTGTGTGTGTGTGTGTGTGTGTGTGTGTGTGTGTGTGTGTGTGGTGTGTGTGTGTGTGTGTGTGTGTGTGTGTGTGTGTGTGTGTGTGTGTGGTGTATGTGTGTGGTGTGTGTGTGTGTGTGTGTGTGTGTGTGTGTGTGTGTGTGTGTGTGTGTGTGTGTGTGTGTGTGTGTGTGTGTGTGTGTGTGTGTGTGTGTGTGTGTGTGTGTGTGTGTGTGTGTGTGTGTGTGTGTGTGTGTGTGTGTGTGTGTGTGTGTGTGTGTGTGTGTGTGTGTGTGTGTGTGTGTGTGTGTGTGTGTGTGTGTGTGTGTGTGTGTGTGTGTGTGTGTGTGTGTGTGTGTGTGTGTGTGTGTGTGTGTGTGTGTGTGTGTGTGTGTGTGTGTGTGTGTGTGTGTGTGTGTGTGTGTGTGTGTGTGTGTGTGTGTGTGTGTGTGTGTGTGTGTGTGTGTGTGTGTGTGTGTGTGTGTGTGTGTGTGTGTGTGTGTGTGTGTGTGTGTGTGTGTGTGTGTGTGTGTGTGTGTGTGTGTGTGTGTGTGTGTGTGTGGTGTGTGTGTGTGTGTGTGTGTGTGTGTGTGTGTGTGTGGTGTGTGTGTGTGTGTGTGTGTGTGTGTGTGTGTGTGTGTGTGTGTGGTGTGTGTGTGTGCGTGTGTGTGTGTGTGTGTGTGTGTGTGTGTGTGTGTGTGTGTGTGTGTGTGTGTGTGTGTGTGTGTGTGTGTGTGAAAGAAATATGTAATCCACATGATACAAGAAACACAGGTAATGAATTAATACATTAGACAACCGACGGTTAGAAAGGCGGGGTCCAAGCGCTAAGAGGTCGATCCTGCAGGCACAAACATTAAACACACATGTAAACACATATACCGACGTGTGTGCACAACCAGCACTGAACGCACATCACAGAATCACCAAGAAAATACTCATTAACATTCGAATCAATACTTAAGTTGTTAAAGAAAATAGATTTGAGATTAAATTCCTTTTAGCTTAAATTTTAGATTAAATTTTAGATTAAATTCCTTTAAATTGCACATGTTGGCCATTTCATAGCATGATACTGTTGGCATGCTTGCAAAGACAGCCTGTAGTAGACTAGTAGTAGAAATTAATATAAACACATGCATCTTTACTGCGTAAATAGTCTGGTTGACCTTAGATCCACTACGGGCTCACCATAGCCCGTGCTGCTTGGAATTTTTCGTTCCAAGTAGCGAAGCTTATACAACAACAACAACAGTCTGGTTGTATGACTCTGACTCAGTTGAAACTCAAAATCTCAGTGGGGTCGTGGAGTCAGATTCACGAAGTAGTAACGCAAGCACTTACGAACCTGGAGCTAGATTCACGAAGCAGTTACGCAAGCACTTACGAACGTGTCCATCTTTCCTCAATCTTTGACGGCTTTGGTTACATTTATTAAACAGTTTACAAGCATGAAAACTTGCCATTCAACTGTTGTTATTGTTATAAACAGCCTCCTGGTGCTTCGAGGCTCATTAACTGTTTAATAATTGTAAACAAAGCCGCCAAAGATTGAGAAAAGATGTACAAGTTCGTAAGTGTTTGCGTAAGTGCTTTCGTGAATCTGGCCCCTGTCAATCTTTTCTCAATCTTTGGCGGGTTTATTTACAATTATTAAACAGTTAATGAGCTCCGAAGCACCAGGAGGCTGTTTATAACAATAACAACAGTTGAATGGCAAGTTTTCATGCTTGTAAACTGTTTAATAAATGTAACCAAAGCCGTCAAAGATTGAGGAAAGATGGACACGTTCGTAAGTTCTTGTGTAGCTGCTTCGTGAATCTGGCTCCTGAATCTGCCAATCACGGTGCAGCTAGATCACAATCAATGATTCTGATTGGATAAATAGGTGAAGCAACTGGATAATGGTCATGGTCTCGACAGTGCTTCGATGTTGTTGTTGTTGTTTTAAATTTAGCTCCTCAAAACGAAATGTCCATGTAGCACGGGCTATGGCGAGCCCGTAATTGAGTCCAGTTATTCGCAATAACCTTAATTACTGTGATATTTGGGTCAAAGTTTTTTAAATGGCGGTGGGGTTTCCTCCTTTTTCCCTGTTTCTTTTTCGCTTCTGTTTTACCACACTGGTTTTCGTCTTGTTGTAATAACATTATCTTGCTGGCGGATGCAGAATGCTCACTAGCGAGTCCCAAGAGTGCTTCAATGCCCTTCATCTTTTTATCTCGAAGGTCATGTTATCAGTGGCAGAATGAGGTGCAGGATAAGGGGCAGTGATAAGGGTGCAGGTACATATAAGAATAACGTTTGAGGAAGATGAATATAAGGTTAATGTTAGATGTAATGGTTAAGATGGTGTAAGGGGGAAGGGGGGGGCTCTGAAAGGGGGTGCTGGGGGTCTGTGGGGGGGGGGAGCAGGTGTGTCCCATTAACAGGTATGAGAGCAACGTGTAGGGGAGTCAAGGTCACAGGTGTTGGCTACAACAAAAGAAACATGAAATTACCATTGACAGGTGTGTACCCATTACATATGGAGCCAGGAAGTGAGGTTCATCGGTACATGTGCTCCCCTTGATGTACTACCTGTGCTGGCATCAGCTGAGATTCAGCTCCTGGTCCCCACCCCTAAACCCGACCTTTTAACCTTCAGTCAACAGGTGTGTAGGTTCGTGAAGATTTTGGCCATATTGCTGGGTTTGCAATATGTCATGCAACAAGGTGGTTATGATGAATATGCAATTAACTTAACGTCATTCGGGTACTCAGATTCCCTTCCCTCTGTCACTCCTTGTTCGACTAGTATCCTTGCCAAACTGTCGGGCCTTGTTAGATACGACTGTTACCTTAACTATTTTGTATGGACTTGATCATGTCTCTTTTTCTCTTGTTTGACAGTTTCTCATTTGATATTGTTTGTCCTGGGCTTTTATTTCGAGCACACAACATCATTACACTTAGTTGTGTTAAACTCTAGTAACCATTTGCTGTATATTATTTTAGTTCGTCCAGGATATCATACAGGTTTGTTGTATTTCATGGTATGTATTCTCCTCGTGAGAAAAATACAGTATCTATACAATGGGATTGAAACCGTGTACCATGGCGCTTTGGACACATGCACTACCAACTGAACCATGATGGGCTTTAACAGCATCTGAACCAGATGGGCGACTTGACCTACAAGGAGTCTGGATGGTATCGTCTCGGTACCACAATCCAAGATTTACAAGATACCCGCCCACACTCGGGTATGGGTTCGATACCCACCAACCCTCAGGTATGGGTTCAGTACCCATCCTCACTCATGTATGGGGTTGTGATGTTACCCCATTCCTCGGCCTCAGTGAAATTTACAGTGAAATCACATAGATACATCATCACGTTCTTTCAGGAACCTGTACACCTCTTGATTGACGGTTGAGAGGCGGGACCAAAGAGCCAGAGCTCAACACCCGCAAGCACAATTAGGTGAGTACGTTCTTTTGAGATCACTATATATTGTCCTCATGTGTGTGTGTATATTGTCCTGAGAGCCAATTCCCCTACGTATTTTACATGTCTCTATCATGTCTCTTCTTTCTTGCGGAACTTTCAGATAGTTCTCATGTCTCCAGAGACTGGCTAAATATCACAGTAAATGATAATCACATGAGTTGTCTCTCTCACTCCCC